TGCCCTTCCTTTTGTGGTGTTCCAGAGAATCCTACACATTACTGCCATGACCCTCCTGTCCTCTGTAATTGCTTGCCTGTCTGGAGTACCAGCAAACCTGGCATGTCTTTCAACTACCTGTGGAGCCCAGTCCAGTAAAGTACTACAGAGATTGAGTAAAGGTTCCACAGTGAATAAAGATTCTACAGTGATTGAATAAAGACTAAAATAATGGATCAGTCTGTCAGTTTTATTAGTGGATTCTGTGTAGGTGGCTAGGAACATTTTTTGAAATGGCCCAAAACTGTGGTATATATAAAAATGATAGACAAAGTGTACCTATTAAGAATCTTTTTGAAACACAGTATTTTTAAGTAGGCAGTGAAGTAATTGCTGATATATGCATGTTTCTTACATTGAATGGCTAGCCTTTGCCCAGCCCTATCCAACTCTTTCTTTGAACTGGTCAGGTAATGTTCTGTTCTGTGAAATTGCTGATTACTATACTGGGTTTTTGTAATTTCCTTCTGAATGAGCTACCATCAATTTTAGAGAGTCTTTATAATCTTTCATCTTCTAAGACCACCTGGGCTTGAGGCTTTATAAATAGGAATGGACAGAAAACCTGCATTATTCATGCTAATGTTTCTTAACTTTCTTTTACTTTTTAGCCTACCTATTGTATAGTGGTAGACTTAGTTTGCTTTCCCAAAATAAACAGCCCACACAGGTTGCAGCTGAAAGTTAATCAGAAACTTGTTGGCCATGGGAATATATAGGGAATTAAAGATAGACAAATATTGCTATTCAAATATGAAGTGCTAAGTAAATCACTTGCCTAAGAAATATGTTCAATAATAGACCTACATCTGTCTTCAGTTACAGTGATGGTGATAATTAAAACAATAAGAACAATAACTGTTTGTGTACTAAAACATCTATAGGCATGTATATCTATTACTAGTAGATAATAATCCCAATTTATCATTGGGATGAGATCACAGTATACTTCGTTTTCTATGTTGTGTATTTGTCTAATGTTTGACTTTATTACTATAGCATATTTCTTATGGTAAGCAGAAAAACAGATCAGAATTTTAAAAAGAAAAAAAACTTTTATGAGAATTAATGACACCCTCGCCCACAGTGTAATCTTTCCTACATAGGCAAATATGTAGAACATTAACACACACTCAACATGACATTTTCACAGCAAATTAGGAAATCTGAGTGGTTTTTTTTTTTAACACTTTTAGCTGGCTGAAAAGGTCATATCATAAAATTTTTTTGAAATTTACAATTCTTCATTTAATACAATAACATGAATTCTTGAATAAAATGTGATACTTTTGGGAATTTAAAATACTATCAGTGATTTAGGGAGGAAAATTACATAAAATGACTTTTATTAAAATCTACTTTGGGGCCGGGTTTATTTAGCTCAGTGGTTCTGCTGCCTGCCTCTCAAGTGCAAGGACTTGAGTTTGATCCCAGGTACAAAAGAAAAAAAAAATCTAATCTGGTAAATTTTGCAAAAAGGAGATGTTACTACCATCTTTTTTTGGAGACATTGATGATGAATTGACCACTTTAATGAAGTTTCAAGGTTCTTGTTAAAAAACACATTTTCAAAAGATTTATTATACAACCTAAATAAGTAGAGCACTCCCAAACTAAATGTTTATCCATAATTTTTTAATATAGCAAGTATTTGGTCTTTAGTTTATTGTACAAATTTAGTTATTTGCATAATTTTGACCATGTTACAAGTTATAGGCACTTCAGAAGTACTGTTCTTTAACTACTTCACAATCCCATTTCTGTCCCAGTGCACTGCAGTGGGTATCAGCTGTACAACTGTATCTTAAAATTACAACTAACTTACTCTCTGGATATTTGATTTTTAAACAAAATTTTCTTAAAGTGTTTACTGAGTGCCTACTGTCAGGCACTATTCTGGCTCTTGGGGTGTATCATAAATAGAACAAAGATTGCTGCCTGGGTGGGTCGTATAGTCTAAATGTGGGTGACCATAAAAGCAAGCATAGTAAACAGGTAAATCATATAGTTTGTTAGAAACTGATAGGTGATATGAAAGAGATGATGTTTACATTTTACAAAGTTACAGTTTACACTAATGCTGGCTCAGTACCAGAGCCCAAGTGACAGATAACTTATTAGTTTCTTAGTAAAGTTATTGTAGGAGGCATTTGTTTTATGAGAGAAATTCAAACAGGACAGAGGCCCTTCTTGTCTAGGTTTGAAGGGTAGTATTGAGGGTAAAACTCACTGAAAGGTAAAATCAGAGCAAAGACAAGAGAAGAGAGTTATCCTTTGGCTATTTATCTGGAAAAAGTGCACTTTGCACAGAGGGACTAGGAAGTTCAGAGGCTTTAAAAAGGGGAACTATCCGGCAGAACCTGTCTGGTTTAACAGTAGGGAGGCCATTATGCCTGCAGTGATGGAGATTAGGAAGAGATGGGGTGGTGGTGTAGGTTTTTTAACTCTAGGGATCATTATTGGAACCTCTGCCTTTTACCTAAGTGAAATGAGAAGCTATTGCTGGGTTTTGATATGGTTTACATATCCATTTAGTCATTAAATTTTTAGAAAATGCATTTTAGGGAATAATTAAATGTGAAATTGTGCACGTTTACATTTACTGTATTTTTAAACACTGATTTTACAATCTCATTATAGAGTTTAATGTTACAGTCAAATAATCTGGAGAATTTATCATTTTAAAACTTTCTAATATGGTATAAATAAAGACCAAATATATTATAGATATTGGGAAATGGGAAGAAAATGTTCAAATGAGAAAGGGAATGAGGGATGGAGGAGAGGGAAAGAAGGGATAAAGGAAAAAAGAATAGAAGGAAAAACAGATACAAAGCTTTTGTAAATAAAAAGAGGAAGAAGTGTCTAAGGGAAGGTAGGGGAATGGAGAAAAAAGCAATACTTATCATGTACATGCACAAATTCCCTATGATGAATGTTATTATTACAAATACCTTAAATATACTAATAAAAAATTTAAGGACTTCCTCGGATGTCAAATATACATAATTAGGGCTTTCTATAAACATTACTTTTTGTTTTTCTTCCTTTGAATATTTTTAATTACTCCTTGTTAATTCATTAACAAATTAATAAATTAACAAATCTGTTAATTTGAAATCTTTTTTTTTGGTACTGGGGCTTGAACTCCAGGACCTTGCGCTTGCGACAGTGGAACCACTGAGCTAAGTCCCTGGCTCTACATTTAATATTATCTAATGTGTATACATCATATTAATGTTCTAGCATACTCGAGCAAAATCAGTACTATAGTATCTTCATTAAAACGCTTTATGACTCATATACCCAGAGGAAAGAACAGTCACAAGTAATATTTTTTATCAGTAAAAATATTTTGAGGGCCAAATGTGCACAATTGCACATAAAGTGTGTCTCATTCGTTTTGCTTTATTGAAACCATGATCATCTATTACCTTCCATTCAAGGGAAACAAAGTAATTTGTTACTTGGCATTTCTATGACTTCTTTTGTTCATTAAAAAAGACTTTTTAGGATTAGAGGCTGAAAGTTGACGTAGATTCAGTTTGACTTCCTCATCCTCTTCGAGTTTAGAGACACCAAAATTATATCCAATACCTGATATAGTACCTAGAACAAGGAAGATGCTCATTATACCTTTGTTAAATGTGTATCTATTCCTCTGAGACATATCTTCCACTAACTGTTATATTGCTCATCTGTGGAAGTTTTGTATTTTAAAAGACTGCTGGCAGAGGAAGTGGGTAAGCTTTGTCTAAAAATATGAACTGTTAATGGTTAAACATCAGAGTCAGAGGGGAGCTATTTTAAAGAGGGGACTTTTCCCAGACAGCTGCTACAAACGCCATCAATGGGCAACTCTTTAGTTTTTTTCTTACTGGTTCAGATGCGAGATGAGGAATTTGCATTTGGTATGTAGCCTTTGGACTTAATATGCTGAACTATTTTTACTTCTTGATTGTTGATTACATAGCAATTCCTACCAATGTATAGACTATTTGCTTATAGATTATATTGTTTGGTAGGATTTGAAAAATACTTAACAGTGCACACAGTATCTTTATAGTCCAGGGTCTTACTCAGTTCCTTTGACACTCTGCAAGGACCGTCACAAAACAGCTTACTGGAGCAGTCTGGCCCACGCTGGGCCCTCAGTCTGTGATGCAGCTGAAATATACTGATATTTAACTTGTGGTTCCCATGCTCTGAAAAGACTGGTATACTTTAAGGCATGTTTGGTGAAGACCATTCATTAAGAGAGATTCCAGTACAGAACTGGGCTCCATTCTGAATACACTAGGGTCAGTGGGGATCCATAGCTAAGGAGCAGAAGGTAAGAGGGATATCAAGTTGGGCAAATTCTGGCTGAGCCAATCTACTGGGACGCCTTCGAAGACAGGCGATGGTGATCACAGATACAAAAGGCGGAGAGTGTGTGTGGGGGTCTTGCTATACTGACTTACTTGCAAAAACTGGACTTTACAAGAAAGGGAACACAGGTTGGCCAGGGAGAAGGTTCCAAAGCCTAAGTTTGTCTGTTACAGGGTCCACTGTACACAAATGTGCTCGTACAGGGCTGAGGTAGCAAATACGTCTCCACACTGAACTAATGCTGCGGTTCCACAAGCCTCTTTACAGTTTTTGAAAAAAGCCCAAGGTAACCCTGACCGCACGGGATTCCCAGGCCCCAAAGGAGAGTAACGTGTTTGCCTTCTCGTATCTCATCTGCCCTCATCCTCCAGACCACCACCCGGCAGGAGGAAGCGGACACTGCGCATGTGCCAACGATGCTCCAGCTTGTTGGCTCCCTGGGTTTAGAGGAAGGCACCAGCCGAGTCCGAAGAGGGGCGGGGCCGGGTCGCCTGGACGAGCCATCCTTTCTATTGGTTCCGCAGCACCGTACGTCACGTCGGCGACCGCGGCGCAGTCCTCTCAGAGGGGCGGGGCTCAAAACGCTCAAGGCGAGACCTGGGGCGCACGCGCAGAAGGGAGGGCCTGGGTCAGCGAAGGGGGAGGAAGGGGTGGTGTTCTCGGTTTCCTGGGTTACCTGAGGGGGCGGGGGTTGGGAGTGAGCGGCGGCAGCGGCGGCAGCAACACGGGATTCTTCTGTGAGAGCGCGCGGCGGCTACAGAGCAGGTAAAGGCGGCAGCTGGGCGCCGATAACACTGCAGAGGGCTGGGGATCGGGAGCCCGTTACGGCCTGGGAGGAAGGCGGAGGAGGTTGCTGCCGCGGAGACCAGGACACTGGGGGATTCGGCCCGCGAGCTGACGCGGCTTGGCTCCAGGACCGTCCAGGCGGCAATGCCGCCTGTGACAGAGCCAAGCCGGGCCGGGAGCTCAGCGGGCTCCGTGGACTGCGGCGACGACCGCGCTGTCCCAGACCCTAACTTTATTTCTCCGGATGCTGCGGCGCCCGGCCCCTGCCCCTGTTGTGTGTTTTACCCCGTCCCCAGGCCCGCCCGGGCCGGCGACAGAGGGAGGTGACGGGGTCCACGCCGCCACCCCGCTGAAGCTTTCTCTCCCTGGCGGCGGTGCTAGCCCACCTGTCGTGCCCCGGGCATCTCGGTCCGCGCCTCCCCTGCCTGTGACAACCTGTGTTCGGGCGGGACCCTGTGCCCCTAGACGACAGTCCCTCTCCCCGGGGGTCCCTGGAGACATTCTGGGGTCCCAAGAATTAGGTAGGTGGCCCGTTCACCCCTGCTGGCCACATGACCCGACTGGTTCCCGATGCCACAGTGTGGAGGCCAGCGGTGACTCCTGGTGGAGGGGATGAGCTTGGGAGACTTGAAGAACCGCTTACACCCAGTGACAGCACCGGGTAGTTGTTAGGGGTTGTTTTCAAAAGAAAGAAAATTTGAAGGGAGTTGAATCTTGTGTTGAATACGCTCGTATTGAATTCAAGTCAGTGTTTCCTTGAAGATCGAATTCAGCTTGCATTTTCTCTACGGCTTAACTGATTTATGAAACAAACTGAATTGAGCTTTTCTTCTTGATAGTTGGCTCTTCTCCTCTATTACTTTAAAGTTCTGCACCCAGAAACCTTATGCTAAGTAAAGATAATGACTCTAGGCTTTCCTTTTATAGATGAAGTTAATTAATATCGGGTATCTGTTTAAAAGAACCTTGTAAATACTCCGTAGCTAGCAACTTGCTTTTGCTGTTATCCATGTTGGTACTGTAAAGATGGGAGAATGTTTTTTAAAGATGGGAGAATTTGAAGAGAGGATACAAAGAATAAATGAGTTACTGTAATTTACATGAAAATACTTTTTAAACTATAACATTTTATATATCATATAGGCATTTAGTAAATAACATATTGAGTACCCAGACTTTTTTTTTTGATACTGGGGTTTGACCCAGGGCCTTCACAGACCTCCTGCCTTAGCCTCCGAGAGTGCTGGCGGACGCTGCTCTAAATAGAAAAATGCCCCTTCTTCATGGAGCTTATATTCTAGTGGGGGACTTCACATAATAAGCACAAAATGTGGGCTGTTAGATGGTGTTAAAGACTGTTGAGAAAAAGCAGGGAAGTAGAAAGACAGGGACTGGCAGTCAGTTGCAGTTTTAATTAGAGGTAGTCAGGAAAGGCCTCCTGGAGAAAATGATATTTGAACCAAGTCTGGGAGGAAGTGAGGGGTAATCTATGCCCCTCTCAGCGGGGTGTGCGTGTGTGTGCAACAGAAGTAAAGACACTTGCAGAAGCCCTCAGGCAGGAGCGCACTGGGCATGTTGAGGACTGCAGAGAAGATAATTTGGCTGTGGTGGAGTGAGCAGAGTAATAGTTGAAGGAAAAACTCTAGATAGGTTAGAGGGGTAGGAAACTGAATCGTGTAAGGCCCTACTGTAAGTCTTTGTAGAAGAAGAGTCATCACTTTTGAGTAATAAAGGAAATAAGCAGAATCATTTTTTAAAAGGATCACTGGTGTTTTGATGGAGAAGAGACTTTGTTTTAAGGGAAGGGTAGGGCAGGAGCAGATACAGCGATTCTAGTCCTGTGACTTGGCTGCAATGCAGGCCAGAGACCATGTAGCTTATCAGAGTGGATGTGGTAGTCTTGTTGATTTCTGCATGAATTGAGGGTAGACATTTAAAGGACATTAAACTTTTTTTCTTTTATTGAGTTTATTGGTACATTTTATGTATACAGTACAGTTACACTCATTATTGGGATCTTGTACCTACATGACAGGTCTTGGTTCTCATTTTTTCCCCTTGTCCCTGCCCTCCCTTCACCCCCTCCTCCCCTCCCCATTTACAAACACTTTATTTCCATTTTTTCACTTTCTCATATTTTTTTCTCTTATTACCTTTCCCCTACCCTTCCCACTTTCCCTACACCTTTAGCCCTTTTCTTCCCATTTCACAATGTCAGTTATCTCATTAGGATCTTATGTACTATTGCAGTTTATTCACACCAGAGAAACTATTCGGTATTTACACATGTGTGACTTATTTATTTCACTTAGGCGTATATCCTCAATATGTATCCATTTTCCTATGAATAAGTCTAATTTCTCCTTCTTTATGGCTGAGTTGTATTCCATTTTATAGAAAAACCATTAAATTTTTTTGTCTTAGCTGGGCATTGTGGCGCACGCCTGTAATCCCAGCATGCGGGAGGCTGAGGCAGGAGGATTGCTGTGAGTTCGAGACCAGCCTGGGCTACATAGTGAGTTCCAGGTCAGTCTCAACTACATAGTGAGACCCTGTCTCAAAACAACAACAACAACAACAAAAAAGCCAAAAAATAAATAATTTTAAATGGATCTTCAACATATATCCTAAAAATATATAAAAATGTGAGAGGTTAATAAGTGATCATATGCTGACCTTTTTTGTGGATGTAGAAGATGCCATCTTTATTTATAGGATTAAAAAAAATATAGGGCTGGGGATTTAGCTCAGTGGTTCTGATGCCTGCCTCGCCAATGCAAGGACCCGAGTTTGATCCCTGGTACAAAAAACAAACAAAAAACCCCCAAAACAAACAAACAAGATATTGAGCTCAGTTTAACTAGATATAATACATTTGTCATAAATCCTGCAGATTTGAAGGCAACCCTAAGTGGAAGGCTGGATAAGTGGAAAGTGGATTATATAATAAAATATCAAATAATGTACAATTATATGTGAATCAATATATTTTTGTAGGGGCCGGGGATTTAGCTCAGTGGTTCCACTGCCTGCTTCGTAAGTGCAAGGACCTGAGTTTGATCCCCGGTACAAAAAAACCACATATATGTGTGTGTGTGTGTGTGTGTGTGTGTGTGTGTGTGTGTGTGTGTGTGTGTGTGTGTGTTTGGTATAAACTGATCTTTTTTTATCTTTTTTGGTACCGGGGTTCAAACTTGGGTCCTTATGCTTGCAAGGCAGGTGGCGGAACCACTGAGCTAAATCCCCAGCCCTGTATAAACTGATCTTGAAGTTGATGCTATATCCTCTCTGATATTACTTGCTTTCACTGCTGCTTCTCACCAATGTTTGTTTTTGTACCTCTTAACTCCCCTGGCCTTGTTTATACTAACTGAAAGAGCTCTGATACATTTGGAAATTTTGAGTGCTTATCAAGTCTTAACTGCTGGAAAAATAAAACAGAAGAAAAATCTTACCATATAATGCAAAAGAATAATGCTTAAAATCAGTCATTTTAATTAATCAAGAAAGGAATCAAACACATTCTGAAGAAGCTAGTTGTTTGTTTTTTCTGTACCGGGGATCAAACTCAGACAGGTGCGGTGCCACTGAGGTAAATCCATGGCCCTTAGAAGCTAGTTATTGTTCCATCCAAATGTGATTCTTTGTAACTGAAATCCAAAATAGATGAGGAAATGAGAGCTTTTAGCTATTTTAAATAAGTGGAAATAGCTGAATAGTAGGGTAGAGCTCTACACATAAAAATGTTTAAAACTGCTACCACTAATCTTGAAAAGGTAGAGATGTTCATATAGTGGATTACTACTCACCAATTAAAAAGGGTGCACTATATAGATTATGCAACAAGACAGATAAATCTCAAAATAATTATACTTTATAAAAAAAAAAAGAAAAAAGTAGTACATATTATATTGTTCCATCTGTAAATTCTAGAAAATGAATACTAATCTGTAGTGGCAGAAAGCATATTAGTGGTGGCCTGGGTATGGGGAGAAAGGACAAGGAGGGATTATAGTAGTATACCAGGAAAGTTCAGGGAGTGATTACAACGTTGGGCATTTCTTGGGTATAAACAGTTGGGCATTTCTTGGGTATAAACATATGTTTAAACTTATACAGTTATCCACTTTAAATATGAGCATATTGTTATATGTCAATTATATCTTAGAATAAGTGTTATTTAAAAGTAGCTCTACCACGAAAATATATGAAGGAATCTTAAATACATTCTGGAAAAGGCAAAACTCTGAAGACAGTAAAAAATTCAGTGTTTAAAACAAGAACCAAGATATATCATGTAAAGTTACAAAATCCCAATGATAAATGTAACTGTATTGTTTTCTTTAAATGTACTAATAAACTTAATGGGAAAAAAAGTCAAGTCAAGTGTTTATTGGGGGTTGAAGGGAGAGGGATGAATGAGTAGAGAGAAGCACAAAGGATTTTAGGGCAGTGAGATTATTGTGAAAAATACAATTGAATTCATGTCTCTATGCATTTGTCAGAACTTGTGGCATGTACACAGAAAAAATGAGCCTCGTGTAAACTATAAATTTGGGATTGGAATGACCTGTTAATATAGGAATGATTGTGACAAATGTATCTCTAGTGTTCGATGTCCATATCTGAAGAGGCTTGTGGAGGAGGTATTGGGAGCTCTACTTTCCACTGGATTTTTCCGTGAATTAAAATTTTGTCTAAAAGAGATTTTTTTCTAGAAACTTGAAGAACTGCATATTTTACAGAAAAATTAGTGAAGGGTAGGTAAAACTGAGATACTGTACGGCCTAGAAAAATAATAGACCAGATTGCCAAATGCTTCATAATTTGTGAGTAGAAAGCCATTGATTAAGTCATCTTAAGGGGACCATACCCTCACTTTACCAAAGATAGAATAATCTCTGTATCATAATCTCTTTAGTGCACTACACAGTTTACAGAATAATATGTTGCTTCATTTGACCCTTAAAAAAGCCCTA